TTTAATGTGCTTTATATATCACAATTAGTTTTTTGAATTTAATTACAATCCTTCTGAGTGTTTAGAAAATGATCAGATCAACAAATCCATATATCACTTTACTGTGTATCTCGAATAGGTATTGAGTAATATATATTTTCCCGCATAGTGTGTTTTGACCAATTCTGCTCTCAAATTAGGAAGAAAGGGAGGCAATTTGAAAAATTAAAACCTCAATAAGTCTTAAATTTACTTGAATAAAGTTGCAATTAAAACAATCTAGTAGTTTGTGCTGTGAATTTAGATAACTGAAAAGCAGATTAATACTACATATATATAGTCTGATATTATGATGTCATCAGTAGTATGACGTCATCAATTGCACTGTGATGTCAAAGGCTAGAAATCTCATAAAAACTTCAAATTAGCATCCGACACGTTTCTCTGTAATTAATTAACAGTGATATGACATTAAATATTCTTAAATGTCATGTGTATGACATCACAAACACCTATTCTTACTGCCCCCCACCCTTCTTCAAGTGTGATATTAGAAACCCTATGACATTACAATATTGTTCGAAAAATAGTATGTTTTTCAGCTGTAACTATGGAAATGTCATTTTATGACAATATTAACATGATTGTATGCCCATTCTAGGAGTAAAAATCATCAGAACAGAGAATTTATCCAAAATTCAAAAACTCATACTTTCCTTCTTAGTTACCATGGATACCACACATTAAACTATTGGAATTGCCCTGAAATCCAGTCTAAATACATTCTAAGCTTGTTATAACAGAAATCAGATGGTATCCCGTCCATTAACCTATATATAGGACTGGGGGCTATCCTTACCCTTGAGGACTATAAGTCTCTTGTTAAAACAGAAAGCAGATATTATCCCGCCCATTAACCTATATAGGACTGGGGGCTTCATACATCTTAGGACCAAAAAGTTTCGTTGTTACACCAGAAAACAGTAATTTCCCTACCAAATTATTTTCATGGTTCTCACAAGGTTTTGTTGTAACAGAAAGCAGATATCCCGCCCATTAACCTATATATAGGACTGGGGGCTATCCTTACCCTTGAGGACTATAAGTCTCTTGTTATAACAGAAAGCAGATATTATCCCGCCCATTAACCTATATATAGGACTGGGGGCTATCCTTACCCTTGAGGACTATAAGTCTCTTGTTATAACAGAAAGCAGATATTATCCCGCCCATTAACCTATATATAGGACTGGGGGCTATCCTTACCCTTGAGGACTATAAGTCTCTTGTTAAAACAGAAAGCAGATATTATCTCGTCCATTAACCTATATAGGACTGGGGACTTCATACATAGGACCAAAAACAGTTGTTATTCCAGAAAACAGTGATTTCCCTTCCAAATTATTTTCATGGTTCTCACAATGTTTTAATTTAAACTACGACATGACTATGGCGAGACTCTCTTTAGCTGTAAGAATTCACAAATATTCTCTTATCCCCGTGAAAAGAATGAGATATCGACACTACAAGAGTGCAGTAAGATTTGTATGGCCACACCGGGTCACACAAAGGGACAAACATGTACATTTTCTCGTGCGTGTATACGCAACAGTCACAACATACATCTAAAAGGTGTGTCTAAAACAAAGGAATTCTCATTTCTTCAAGTTTTTACACTTGGTACATAAATATATATGAGAAAACTGTCACTTACATGTCTGTTTCGCAGCAGGTGTTTTCTGAGTGACCAGTCTCGTGCCCAACGCTGAAAATTTCGTCGCAGCACTGAGCAGAATTCATAACAGTCCAATCTCATTGGTTGTCTGTCCCTTTTCTTTAACGTTTTCATTGGCCAATGCTATCTTGAGACGCAAAATTATTGCACGTGCCCCGCGCGCAGCTCAGGTGCACACTGTGTTACTGAAACAATAAAGCGCCCCAGGAAAGCCTGGTTCCTAAATTGATCTGAAAAAAAACATTGGATGAAAATTTCTAGAGTTTGATGATGATTATATTGATATTTTTTTGTTTTGTTTTTATTGGGATTAAGGTTGGGATGGTTTCGACTGTAAGCCCGGCCCGCTTAATTACAAACTATATATAGGCACACAGAAAATTAAGATATGTACCACATCTTGTGTCAGCTTAAAAAAAGAACAAAAGATATTTTATATATCTACGGTACTCTGTATCTTCTATTCACACCAGAGACATTCTTCTAGCCTCGTGTGTTCGTTGTATATTCAATGAAATTTGACATATTGATGACACATTTATAATAAATTGAACTTCAGTTATAAAATCAAGAACACCGCAAACGGACGTACGACATCCGTCTGACCAGGGACGTGCAACATAAATGTCACTGATCTGACCCAGGCTGGTTTTTTCTCTTTGATTAGGCGGGTTCTGCTAGACAGAATTGCCTGAAATGTTGTTTTTTTTTCTCTTCCTCCAAACATTTCATTTCTCACGTCCTTAATTTTATACTGTCACTCTTTATCGGATCCCTTAAATCTTAAACCTATATATTAATGGACCCCATTGGAAATAAGCCTATTTTATAGGCTTGATGGGTAATTCAAGGCCAAAGGCATTTTCATCTGGTTTTATCAAATTTCTCTTTTTTATTGATATTTCTAAGATTTTCAACTATTTTACTTAGAAGATTTGCAAGCACAGTGTTATTTAATTTCTGCGATACTAGTTTAAACTGTGGTATTTTAAGGTATGTGAAATTCTTCTGTGATATCTTATATTTTATAATTAATAATTTTAAGAAATCCACAATAATTTATTACTGATTTTAATTGTTATTGAATTGCTTATGTAATGTGATATTTGTAATGTGTAATTTTATTATGACTGAATAAACATAATAATAATAAAAATATATAGGAATGGAGGCTATCCTTACCCCTTAGGACTTTTAGTCTTGTTATAACAGAAAGCAGATATTATCCCGCCCATTAACCTATATATAGGACTGGGGGCTATCCTTACCCTTGAGGACTATAAGTCTCTTGTTATAACAGAAAGCAGATATTATCCCGTCCATTAACCTATATTGGGCTGGGGAATTCATACATCTTAGGACCAAAAAGTTTCGTTGTTATACCAGAAAACAGTAATTTCCCTACCAAATTATTTTCATGGTTCTCACAATGTTTTAATTTAAACTACGACATGACTATGGCGAGACTCTCTTTAGCTGTAAGGACTCACAAATGTTCTCTTATTCCCGTGAAAATAATGAGATATCGACACTACAAGAGTACAGTAAGATTTGGATGGCCACACCGGGTCACACAAAGGGACAAACATGTACATTTTCTCGTGCGTGTATACGCAACAGTCACAACATACATCTAAAAGGTATGTTTAAAATATAAAGGAATTCTTATTTCTTCAAGTTTTACACTTGGTACGTAAATACATATGAGAAAAATGTCACTTACATGTCTGTTTCGCAGCAGGTGTTTTCTGAATGACCAGTCTCGTGCCCAACGCTGAAAATTTCGTCGCAGCACTGAGCAGAATTCATAACAGTCCAAGTTCATTGGTTGTCCCTTTTCTTTAACGTTTTCATTGGTCAATACGATCTTAAGACGCAAAATTATTGCACGTGCCCGACGCACAGCTCAGGTGCACACTGTGTTACATGATAAAGCGCCCGAGGAAAGTCTGGTTCTTAAATTTATCTGATTTGATCCCGCCTATTAACCTAGTGTGAACATAAATGATTCGTGTACAAACGGGGGAAAAATGCTTTCTAAAAAAATATGAAATATATTTTTCAACTTTCTATTAACTCTTTTATGGAATTGAGTTATAAACCCTGTGACTTTTATCTGAGTATGTGGAGATCTGCCATTGTCCATAATTCATATATGGATATCAACAAATGATTGATGGATACGAAAAAATGATAATGTATGAATATCCATAAATGAATTTTGAATTAAATGAATCTTTCATATTCATAAATGAAACAGAATTATTGATATCCATAAATACATATCGTGTGTATTAGAATTATTTATGGATATCCATAAATTGAAAAATGGACATCCATTTCTAGTCATTTTTCCGCACTTGCGCTTTCCGTACATCCATGCAGTATTATGAAGTTCTGTTTCAGCACTGGCCAGATTTTATTCCGATCTCTGATTCTTGTTGTTATATTATTAGATTGGCTTAGGTGATCTCTCTAACTGACACAACAATACAAGACTGGTGTTAGGGGAGATCGGAATAAGACGAGAGCAATAAGTAAATAAATATGATATAACATAGATGATATTCCACAACCATCATCAAAATCATCATCTGTCTGCCTCTCTCTCTCTCTCCATGTTTCACATGTATTCAGTAAAATATGAAATGTAATAATCTACAGAGTAATGAAAAATAAATTTATCACTAAGATTTTCTCTGTGTTTTAATCAGCGTTTTGATGCATTGTCACGGTTAGGTCAATGCATGTTTGCACTTTTCAGACCTATTTCAACTTGCTAACAAAAGTGCTGGTTTTGTTGGTAATAGAATCAATACAAATAGCAACGAAAAGGAGACACATTCGTGGTTTGTTGAATAATATCTTAAATCTATTGTTCCATAATGCATCCAGTAAGTATTCACTTGTACATTGGATGCATAAATATCAATTCTTTCGATTTTAAACAATATTCTAACATAATATTATAACGTGCACCTTTTGGAGAATAATGTTCAACTCTCTTGTTTAAAAATGTGTTTATTATACATAACTATTTTTTTTCAAAATAAGAATGTACTGAGAATAACGCCATTTTTTAAATAAAAAGACGTCAAAACACAACATTACTTTTTTCTCACTTTTATTTACTCTTCATCATCAAATTGGCGTATCCTTGTCTAGGTTTTATAACAGTGGTAATGTCTACGTACTCGAACGCACCGCAAGGTAACTCTTCAATCTAGAGGAGTAAAATACAGTACATCCTACGAAAGCAGCACGTGAGGCTAGACATAAAATCTAATTTCTGCTGTTTTTCGCGTATAGTTTCTGAATATCGGGTTACTCTATCTGTTAAGATGGCGTCATTGAGGAATTTAGAAAAAGCTAGAGCGAGGGAGCACAGGGAGAGAAGCCAGGTAATTAAGATTAGTTGTAGCAATATGTTTGGTAGGGCAGCGATCCTGTCGTTCTTACTTGTTCTATTTCTAAAACCAGCTGAAAACAATGTCCGTAGACATTAAGTGCCTGTTGATAGAGACGGAAAATCGATGGTTATTTGATAATAATACATTGGACGATATCCTCGCCGATAGACAATTATTTTATATATTGGATTTCACCCGCGTTAACAGGTTGGTCACAACTCCACATATGGATAAAACTGTAGTTCTGCAAATGCAGAAACGTTTAAAATAGAATCACATAAAGTTCCATTTCAATTTCAAACATTTACAGTTTAAAAGGGCATCATCTTCGAAACATGACCCAAAAGCCAATGCTACACTCTGCATATTCAGTGTTTAGCCATTTGGAATATCTATTGCCAATGTTGTAGTTGAGCTTTAATTTTTTCCTGTGTTCTATTCTTAGCCACCCTTAAAAATGGACGCGATAGATTTTGTGATTTATTTACTTTTCGTGTAAAGATGCACGGTGTTGCATTGGTTATAGGGCCATGTCAACAAACATGACACTTTTTTTGTTGCAGATAATCAAAAGATTTTTTTTCTATTTTAAATGAGTTGGCATTTGAGTAACTAATTGATCACTCAAAGCAGTAACAATCACTCAAGTGCAAGATTATTAAGGGTTGTGCCCAATCTGGTTGATACATTTGATAGCTGATAAAATCAAATAAAAGTGAAAGTTTTAGTCTACTGATACAGTGTAACTGCAATACAATATTTTGTATTGCCAGCATGTGATAATGAAAATACAAACTGGTCTCTCAACTTCTACAATTCAATGATTATGATATGGTCTGTCTTTTTTTATGTTTGAAGCCAGCAGCAAGAGCTAAACTGGGATACCTGGAAAAGAAGAAAGACTACAAAGAAAGAGCAAGGTATGTCCTTAACTTAGTATTTAAAACAATGAAATGTCTACAATGAAATCAATTTAAAAAAGAAATATGTGTATATTTCAGCTACAGCAGCACGAACTGTATGAAAGGAAACATTAATTATCTCTTTATATAAGAAATATTGACTCTAGCATAAAGTGTGACTTTACAATCATCCTTAAACAAGTGGAAGGCGAACCATTGAAATGTCCTCTGCTATGACAATTACTGCATATAAATATAAAGGGCCTTCTGCATTTATCTGTTGAAGGTATTACAAAGATACCTAAATTTACACTTTCGTTCTCAATTTAGTTTATAACTTTGTATTTGTTTTATGTTCTAGTGTATGTGATGTAACATTTGTGTCCTGATTACCTGGAAAATTTGACAATTCAATTGTCCATACTGTCCCTTTTATTTCATTGATCACATATACATACAGACATATATATGTATACATAGATGTAGTTCTTGTCCAGTACATCAACAGGGTGCAGCATACTGACCTTAAAGTACTATTTCTATTATTTTTGAACAGTGAATACCACAGACAGCAAAATACCATAAAATCACTGAAGAGAAAGGCTTTGAACAGAAATCCAGATGAATTCTACTTCAACATGGTCAAAACTCAGAAAGTGGTAAGTTTAAAAAAAACCCTTAATGTTGTACTGCTTTTCTTTTTGTCACATTTCTTCAGTGAACTAAAGTGTGACTTTAGCCCTGATGAAGCCCACATAAGTTCAGACAAAACCAGTCGACATATCAATAAAAATCCCACAGCTTACCCCAAGTGTAGGGTACCAAGAACGACTAACTCTTATACTAAAATCACAGCAAAGGCTGTAGTCCCTGGTAGTATGAAAATATAAATGGATTTTTACTAACATAGTTATGTCGTGTGTTATTTTTATCTATAGGTCTATTTATTCAACTGTTTTCTTCTGTATTGATGACAAATGAGTGATGAAACACCAAAGTTAATTTGGAAATATTGAATTACTGTGTCTTTTTTGTTGGATTATTCATTTTGTGCAATTATAGTCCCTTATGTACATATCTAATATAACCTTAATGTTGATAAGATTGAAGTTTAACTTAAAGGAGCAGTCCATTCCCTGTACACACAATACTCCATTGTGTGTATTTACTTCAATTGCACAGGTCATTCGTTAGATTGAAGTTGTAAAGAGTTGTTGAAATGTCACAGTCGCATACATTTTCTATCAGACTGTGCCTTACAAAAATCACTTTACCTACCAGGAATCATGTACTTACCAAGCTGACCAAAGGATTTCTAATAAGACTTGAATGTTTGATTTATATATGACAGGATGGAGTCCATCAAAGAAAGGCAGAAATGGAACCAGAGGTGACGGAAGTTCAGACTAAAATCATGTTTTCTCAGGACCTGCGATACGTTAATATGAAGCGCACGGCAGAATTAAAGGTAATTTTGCATGCGAAAAAAGCAAGTTTACGTAAAAAAACCATGTAATTTCAATGAGTATTAATCACCAAAGTAATAAAGATGGTGGCCAAGTGGAACAATCGATTATGCATTTGTCTTTCGTTACTGTTCTAATGGCACATCAGCAAAAAATTTTTTTTTTCTAAATTTCATAAGTACCGGTAGTTATAAACAGCTTTTGTGTTTTTTAGCAGACGACTGAAGATTTACTTACATTAATAAGAAATTTATATTTTGACAGAAAATAGAGAAGCTGAAGGCATCTTTACATCTCCTTGACGGTGAAGACAAGCCGAAAAATAAGCATATCATTTTTGTAGACTCAGAGAAAGAAGGTAATTTTCATGCCTGTCATTTTATATGCACGAGATTGTTTGCACTGGTATGATACAATAATACATGTTCTAAAATTTTGCCATTATTGAAATTTGAGAAAGTTTGACTGCTTATTATTGCATCCATATTGCATTGTGGTTACATGATTTATCCAAGAAAAATCAGATGACGTTAATTGTGACTTGAAGTTTTTATACACTGTATGTACCCATTATATACATGAACTGATCACTCTAGTTTAAGAGCTTAATGTTTATTTTGTTAATCATTCAGTGAAGAAATTTGATGCAGCGAAACACTTTGACACTCATCCATCCCTCCTTGGACGGGCATACAATAGGCCCACCACACAGATGTTACAGGCTGGACAGATTCCAGTTCCGACCGACCACACAGAATTAGAGGTAAATCTGTGTCATTTTGAATTACTTCAGTAAACTATTGTTCTAATGTAATGAACTACTGATCAGTTTTTATAGACATTTTTTCATGCAGGGCTATATGATAAAACAATAAACACTACTGTGACTTCTATTTTGTAATTTGACAAAAATTTTGCTATTTCCTTGTCTCTGATTTGTTGACATCTTACATTTCTACCTGGTATATACCGAGGTAGGTGAAAATTAACACTACATACCCAACATTAACTTTCAAAAGCATCATTTACTACTTACAGTTACATTTAGAACTGATTTCTGATTGCTTCCAACATGTAATGGTTTTAACCATTGGTACTGTCTTATTAGCTAGATGAACAGGCAGGCCATATTGGCCTCTTGTTTCTTTAGCACACTAGGAGGGATAGCATCTTTGTGGTTTACAAACTGATGTTAAGTTTATGTTTCTTTTAAAGAAGTAGCATGTTAAAGGAACCTTAATGAATATCTATAAACAGTTTTGGTGAAAGTCTAAATTCTGCATTTTCCTTTTGGGAAATTCAATGTTAATATAAACAACCATTTAAATTTTACTGTTAAAGTTGTTAGATCTATTTTACATCATACTTTTTCTATTGAAAAATACTTATACTAATATAATTAGTTGACTACACACTACTCTTAAAAATTCAAAATTTTAGAAATAAGTTTTCATGCCTCTTGATCTAAAGATTAGGGGAATATTGTTTTGTGCTGTCTGTCTTTTATCAGCTTTAACCTTGACCATAACTACTGCACTGTAAGAAGTAGGGTTTTTATATTTGGCTTGTGTGTTCCTTGTGACAAGACTTTTCCTGTGGTACCAGAATTTTTGACCATGTGACCTTGACCTTTGGCCTACATTTGTAAAATTTTAACATCGGCTTAACTATTGCATCATAAAAGGTAGGGCTTGCATATTTGACATGTGTGTTCCTTGTGAGAAGACCTTTCTGGTGGTATCATGCGATGTGACCTTGACCACGACCTTTGACCTACATTTTAAAGTAAAAATAATCATAACCACAATGAATACAAGTGTTTCATGCATGCAGTTAGTACAAGCCTTACACAGTACAGTTTTAGTGTCCCACTTCAGAATATTTTTGCAACTGGGGGCATTTTGTTTCGTAAACATACCTTGTTTTATAATGTTTATAATTTAAACCAAAAATTGTCATATATTTCAGGAACTGGCTCAGGAAAAGGAAAAGAAATACAAAGAACTGACCAAGAGGATTGAACGAGAAAAAGAATTGGGCATTATTGCACAGAAATTGGAGATGAAAAAACATCTTATGGTACAAAGTTAATTATATATGTACTTCAGTTGTGGTGAAATATATTCTCATCACATTTTTCATTTCATTTATATATCATAAAAGAAGTCTTTGAAATGTTATATGCAGGAAAATATTGAGTTGCTCTGTATATAAAACTGTTTATCACCTTTTACACAAGCTTTAGGGTCTTTTGACCTTGAGATGACCTCTATGATAAATACATGATACTTTTATATAATATTGTGTGCTGAAACCACAGAATTCTTCAAATCATGATACAGAATATTTTTAGTTTTATGATACTGACTTTATATATACAGAAAAATATTCCCCCAGGGATTCTCTGACCTTACTGATTTTATTTTTTTTTTCCTCGGGTGTTAAATATGCCCTTAAGTACTGGGTAATTAAAATATATATTAGTATTCAGACTTTTATTTCAAGTTTTAAACCCCTTTAAGGTTGAAATTTGGCAAAATTAAAAAAAAAAAACTGACCAAGTTCCACATAAACACTATAAATATGTTGCAAAAGGATGAAATACTAGCTTACAGGTATCTAAGCTGCACTGGTGTATTGTCAGGTATCAAATCCTTCACCATATGTTTAGTCTTTAGTTTGGGAGAAAAATTAACCAATATGAAAGTGTGACTGCCTCATTATAAAAAAAAACCTCCAAAAGCTTGGAACTTCTACTCGATTGCTTTGCTGTATTTGGGACATCTTGAAATTTTCCTGTCTGTAGAACAGGCCCATATCAGATTCCATTAGTTATTGCTAATGTACAAACTTTATTATACCAATTTCCCATTCATTGTGACTTTATTCTAGTGTACTAACTATGTAGGTCTCAGCTTATGTTTGATGTCTTGTAAGTATGACCTGATAATACTTTTGATTCTTTCGTCTTTTCCTCCTACAGGCCAAAAAAGAAAAGAAGAAAAAAGTTGCAGATGAAACAAAATCTTCTGCAGCTCAATACAGATGGTGTACTCAGAGAAAAAAGTGAACATTTTTCCAAGTTTTCTTGGTCTGTGGATAAAATCAGGAGAGTCAGCATCCCACATTTTGTTTATCATACAAAAGAAAACAATGATAAGAGACAAAATGTGAGACAAGATACACTGTTGAGCTCCTAGAATTGAGGTTTCCAGGAAAGATTGCATGAAATCCGTGTCCAGCTTTCTGATGCTGTCGTCAGTGCAGTCTTTTTCGGAATGGTCTGATCTAGAAGACCATAAGTCAGAGTTGTTCTCCGACAAAGACCGTACAATTCAGATTACTGTGTCCAGTAGTAGAACAACTGATTCAGACAAAAACTTTCACTTTTGAAGCATCCAAGCTGGTCTTGATGTCTTTAACAAAGGTGTAGAACATTGTTCCAACAGTATTTTAAGCAGTTCTTGTGTAGAACATGTCCATTGTGATATCAATAACTTTTAATAAAAAGTTCAATGTCGGTCATAGTTTCAGGTCTTTTTGATGTTTGTGAGCAATGGGATTCTTTCACTGACAATAGGAGCTTCTTGCTGATATTGAATAACTTATGGTGCAGAAAATTTGTGGAAATATGTTATATACAAGAACTGAAAACATTTCTGATTCTATTTTTCAAATGGTATTCACTTTACTAAAATTTGACGAAAATGTACAAAAAATGGTATGTGAAATATTTTAACTGAACCTTTCAATCTGAATCAATTTCTAGAGAAATATGTATGGTCAGTAAACATTTCATGTGTGGTGTTACTTAAGGAAGGGGGCACTGCTCTTGGTAATTATCCAAACAAATGTATTAAAAAAAAGATTAAGTCCCTGAAAAGGGGCACAATGTGCCTGGGTCACTTCTCATCTCACATGTCACATGTCCATGATTTGTTCGGGCTGAATGTGATACTCTATACCTAATCTTTGCCAGGTTTTATCAGCTGACCTGCCTAAAAAATGTGTGAACTTTTAGGGGGTCCATATCTGTCTATCAATCTGTCCATTATCGACATTGATATATTACCATGAATGTCTAGGTCATGATTATTACCCAGCAGTGTAACAGGAAAAGATATTGATAAAACTTTTCTAATTAATAACTTACACCAGTTTTCGAGGTCACTGGTTAAATAATCATTGAAAATTAATTTAATTAGATTTAAAAAAAGGATGTTCCGGCGTGGATCACATGTAGTCAATATTTATCACACGATGCAAGTCCAAGGTCACGGGATATCCAAAAAATATTTATATCTTTAATTTTTTTTATGAACTTTGAAGTAGGAGGTGTTAAAACATTTACAGTGTAACAACTGTATTGTGAATATAGTTTTAAACAGTCTTTGGAATAAGTTGTGCCTAAACCATTTATCACATTGAAAAAATCAACATTCTACTTCAACGAACATGTTAGAATAAAATAATCAGAAACAGTGCCGAGAATATATGAGTTATCTAACATCTGTTCATACATTTGTATGTTATATCACAAAATCAACACTGTCCAAAAGATTCCAAAATATGTTCAATGTACAAGCTTTTCGCCTAGACATAAGGTGACACTGACTTGTGGAAGTTATATATAACAGACTTTGTTTTGACAACAAGAAAAATCAAGAAAGCAAACCGAGTATTGCTACAGCAATATATGTCCCCTTCCTAAATTCACAAGTTATCTATTGTGATGATTCTTTTTTTACCCAACAACCCTGAAACTCCAACTTGTTTAAGATAATTTGACATCTTATAAGTGTTTAAAAGTTTGATAAGAATTCCTTTGGGAATGAAGCCACTACAGTGCTGAAAATGATTTTTAAAAAGTAAGTGACCTTGACCCTGACCACAAAAAAACCTGAAACACAAAGTTATCCAAGATATTTGGGTGTTTAATAAGTGTGTGGAGTTTGATAAGAATCCCTTAACAATTGAAGCTACCAGACTGCTAGCAGAAAATAGACACAAGAACTCACCAGCAGACAGAGTGAAAAATTATAGTACCCACTGTTTTTACCAGTGGGGGACTAATAATCTTCCCAGTAAACATCAATAATTGAAAAACTTCAAAATTCAGTACTTGGGATAAGGAGTGATAATTCATGCAAAATTATGTTAATATTCAAAAGTAAGCTTATAAAACCAATATACTTCCCCCCCCCCCCAAAAAAAAAAATTGCATTGTCATATATCCTTATTCTATAAACTGATTTCTAATATTTGTATTTTAAGTGAATTTTAATGTATGACTTTTCCTTGAAAACGTTTCTGAAATATATATATAAGAACATTGCCTCTAGTTCAAGTTTTGTCAAAAGATGAATATTGAAAGATTATTTAAACATAATTAAAGTCCTTGTATTACATTTTAATACATTTTTGGCATTTACAGTAATTAGTTATAATTCTTAATTTCACATCTCTTCATCTTGTTCCAAGGTTACTCCAGAGTCCTTACAGTGTAACATAATGTAGATTTCCAGTTCGACATTTCTTTGTCATGGAATCCATAGTGTTTGAAACAACAGCACAAAATATCTATGTAAAAAAGTCCTGGTTGTTGATCATCTTTTTCTCCTGAAATAGTGAAAAATAAAACTGGTAAACGTTTGAATTATGACAAGATATATGCATATCTAATTTATCTCCATCAATTGTCCCTTAAGCCATTAAAATCTATACCTGGCTTTAAATTTCTTCAGTTTGGACGAAGATTCAACAGATCTCTTACAGTAAAACATACAGCTGTAAGTTAGCAGTGTATACAGATTGACTAATCAGCAACAGTGACACAAAAAGCACTAACCAATCCAAAACATGGATACATGTATTTTTTTATAAAGTATCCACTCATTTGATATCTGGATGGAGGCTGTGATGGTATGGATTAGGTGCCACAGCTTGATGGCTTGTTTTGTTTTTGATATTTGAAAAATACCAGCCAGACTTTGAAAGTGACCATCACCATACAAAATCCTTTTATACTTATCAGTCATACTCAACAATATTCTATAAATACTGAAGCCATTCCACCCACCAAGAGTATTTACGTCGAGCTCCTTCCTGTCCAGGCTTGTCTCGTTCACGAATCCTCGGATCTTCTGTCAACAGTCCAGCTGTAGAAAATCAAGGTTAGAACACATTAAATATTAAGGTTAAAAAACCACAAAGGTCAAGGTAAAACATGATAAAAGTCAAGGTAAAAACACTACAAAGGTCAAAGTAAAAACATTACAAAGGTCAAGGTTAAAACACTTCAGCATATAGACTAATGTCTTGTTTAATTTCATGAGTGTAAAATTTTGTGGAGTTTTTTTTTTTGTGTTTCAAATCGGGAACACATGTTTGGGGAAATTATCTTTGAACATTATAGTTGTCAGAAAAATTAAGAATTCAATGGAATGCAAAAGTTTTAATACTTTCACCCTTTCATTTAGACTAATTTCAGCTGACTTTTGAACAAAGTGATTTGTAGTCCACCACCTAATATTTTGTACAATAAGATAAGGCAGCAGAGAAAGTGAGTCAAAATGTATGAAATTATTTTTTTCACCCCCATACTGAACTAACTCTAAGCTATATATGATATCATAGATTATTTTCAGGAAAGTTTTAATCAAACTTTTAGCACATCATACATGGTCACTATTTGATAATATCTGTGGACAAAATAAAACCGAACCTTCATTGTACAAATTCAGTTGCTTAATATGATCTCTAGTGCCTTTGGTAATCAAATTTGAACAAATATTATCAGCAAATCTTGAAAAAACTTTTGAACTTATTTAAATATGCATAATGAAGAAAAATGATTTTTCGCTAACTGGACAATCAAGTGACATGTTTTATCACGTGGCAGTATAACTATTGTAGAAGTATCTTACAGTATATATGACAAAATCTGTACACGTGTGATATTTCAAGACATGCTAATTACCAGGGTATGTGGCACTACATTTCAATCATATTCTTATCAGAAGAAAATCTATAAACTTTCAAGAGAAAACATCCACAAGTTTATCAGCAGGAAAGTTTTCGACTTGACACCTACCGATAGTCAACCGTGTCTTGATATCATCACTGACGTATCCAGCCAGGGCTTTAGACATTGCCAGTCGGATCGCCCCTGACTCTGATGATTTACCTCCCCTGACTGTTGCGGCATACACATCCACTTTTCCGAGCAGTTCACAGACTATCAGTGGTGTCATGATCTGTTCCCTGCATCAACAAACAATGCAAGTATAGAAAATAACAGTGATATTAATACTGAATCTGTCATTTTACTTAAACATTTTATTATATTTTCAAAAACAGTTCCTTTTCGAGAAGACAGTGTTTTTTATTCCTATTACATCATTTTACTCCTACAGTGCAGATCAGATTGTGAAGTGACAATTGTCCTGACTTGTTAAAAGTCAAAATTTAACCACCGTATCCTGATAAAACACCTACCTATGTGTATGATCCTTGAAGTACAGTATATCATTTCCGTTGATTTCAAATTTTCCTGTACCATTAAGATACACCTTCACATAAGCTTTACAAGATTTTCGAGAACCTGAAAAAAACGAGTGTAAAAGTGAACTAAATGTAACTGAAATTGGCGTAAATGTATAGAAATCTGTTGGAGAAAGAGACGAGAGTATGGGGATTAGTGTATAGGTCAGGGAATAGAGTGGCCAGCATTAGCAGAGGTTGCTAGCTAGAAAAGAAAGGATTGATATGTTGAGAAAATTATCGGAAAATATTGTGTTTTGGGAAGTACATATAGGCTTGGAGAAGGAAGCTCTGAATGATAAAACAAGCCAATGTCAGCATACAGCTTAAAGTCCACTGATCGTGTGAAGTTTAGAGTCGACTTTGACATGAAATATTGAGAGCACTGTATTTATCAAGTAATCATTCCATCAAGGCTAATCATTCCACCTATATCTGTTACTGTTCTGTAGTTACAAATATATTCTCTTCAATGGTCCTGTTATGTTACTCGAACCTGTTGAATCTGACTCAGAATTTATATGTCGGTCAGCTGAGCTCTTTACAGCATAAAAATAAGTATGCCATGTGTTAAGCACAGGTATAGATAGTGATGATGGGACCACGTGGAATGTGGGAGGGGTTTGTAGATTTATGACAAGAACAGGAAGAGTTGTTGGGCTTAGGGTGAGAATGAAAAATTTGATGAAGACTAAGGTGAGAATGAGAAGACAAAGGTGAGAACGAGATAACTTGGTGGAGACTAAGGTGAGAATTAGAAGACTTGGTGGAGACTAAGGTGAGAATGAGAAGACTTGGTGCAGACTAAGGTGAGAATGAGAAGACTTGGTGCAGACTAAGGTGAGAATGAGAAGACTTGGTGGAGACTAAGGTGAGAATGAGAAGACTTGGTGCAGACTAAGGTGAGAACAAGAAGACTTGTTTGAGTCTAAGGTGAGAATGAGAAGACTTGGTGCAGACTAAGGTGAGAATGAGAAGACTTGGTGGAGACTAAGGTGAGAATGAGAAGACTTGGTGCAGACTAAGGTGAGAATGAGAAGACTTGGTGGAGACTAAGGTGAGAATGAGAGAAGACTTGGTGAGACTAAGGTGAGAATGAGAAGACTAAGGTGAGAATGAGAAGACTTGGTGAGACTAAGGTGAGAATGAGAAGACTTGGTGGAGACTAAGGTGAGAAGAATGAGAAGACTTGGTGAGACTAAGGTGAGAATGAGAAGACTTGGTGGAGACTAAGGTGAGAATGAGAAGACTTGGTGGAGACTAAGGTGAGAATGAGAAGACTTGGTGGAGACTAAGGTGAGAATGAGAAGACATGTTGCAGACTAAGGTGAGAATGAGAAGAAGACTTGGTGAAGAGACTAAGGTGAGAAGACTTGGTGAGAAGACTTGGTGGAGACTAAGGTTGGTGGAGACTAAGGTGAGAATGAGAAGACTTGGTGGAGACTAAGGTGAGAATGAGAAGACTTGGTGGAGACTAAGGTGAGAATGAGAAGACTTGGTGGAGACTAAGGTGAGAATGAGAAGACTTGGTGCAGACTAAGGTGAGAATGAGAAGACTTGGTGGAGACTAAGGTGAGAATGAGAAGACTTGGTGCAGACTAAGGTGAGAATGAGAAGACTTGGTGGAGACTAAGGTGAGAATGAGAAGACTTGGTGCAGACTAAGGTGAGAATGAGAAGACTTGGTGCAGACTAAGGTGAGAATGAGAAGAGAAGACTTGGTGCAGACTAAGGTGAGAATGAGAAGACTTGGTGAGACTAAGGTGAGAATGAGAAGACTTGGTGCAGACTAAGGTGAGAATGAGAAGACTTGGTGCAGACTAAGGTGAGAATGAGAAGACTTGGTGCAGACTAAGGTGAGAATGAGGAGACTTGGTGCAGACTAAGGTGAGAATGAGAAGACTTGGTGGAGACTAAGGTGAGAATGAGAAGACTTGGTGGAGACTAAGGTGAGAATGAGAAGACTTGGTGGAGACTAAGGTGAGAATGAGAAGACTTGGTGCAGACTAAGGTGAGAATGAGAAGATTTGGCGCAGACTAAGGTGGGATGAGAAGATTTGGCGCAGACTAAGGTGAGAATGAGAAGACTTGGTGGAGACTAAGGTGAGAATGAGAAGACTTGGTCCAGACTAAGGAGAGAATGAGAAGATTGGTAGAGACTAAGGTGAGAACAAGAAGACTTGTTTGAGTCTAAGGTGAGAATGAGAAGACTTGTTTGAGTCTAAGGTGAGAACGAGAAGACTTGGTGGAGACTAAGGTGAGAACGAGAAGACTTGGTGGAGACTAAGGTGAGAACGAGAAGACTTGGTGGAGACTAAGGTGAGAATGAGAAGACTTGGTGGAGACTAAGGTGAGAATGAGAAGACTTGGTGGAGACTAAGGTGAGAATGAGAAGACTTGGTGGAGACTAAGGTGAGAATGAGAAGACTTGGTGGAGACTAAGGTGAGAATGAGAAGACTTGGTGGAGACTAAGGTGAGAATGAGAAGACTTGGTCCAGACTAAGGTGAGAATGAGAAGACTTGGTCCAGACTAAGGTGAGAATGAGAAGACTTGGTGGAGACTAAGGTGAGAATGAGAAGACTTGGTGGAGACTAAGGTGAGAATGAGAAGACTTGGTGCAGACTAAGGTGAGAATGAGAAGACTTGGTGCAGACTAAGGTGAGAATGAGAAGACTTGGTGCAGACTAAGGTAAGATTGAAAATGGTTGATGGGATAAAGATGAGAATGAGAGGTTGGTATTAAGGTGAAAATGAGACAAGCTGGTGGAACTAAGGTGGGATTAAAGTGAGAGTGGGGAGTATGATGATATCATAGATTATTTAATGTAAAATTTGTTTAGAGATTGACTTGTGTCTCTAGAGTTAGAGTGACTACAGATGTCTATAGGTGACTTGTATAAACAGTATAACACCTGGTCATTTACATACCTTCACCTTTGTAGTAGAGTTTTCCCTCATCATCAACTTCAGGCTATAATAAGAGACCAAAAATTTGTCAGATTTTTATGCAATATCTTTGACCAATGGACTCATCATTACTTAAACATAAATATCACATACTGTCTGATGGGAAAGAACAATGTCGTTGATTTAACAGGCACCTATATACAAAATAGGTAACTCCACATTATATGCAAGCAATTTTTTTTTTTGCTGAAATCATTTATGTTTTTATTTTTGAAAACAGATAAGTCTAGAGAAATAAGTGTTTACATCATTTAAAATCCATGGAATTTTTAACTTACAGATTTATGTTTATAAGAAACAGCTGATATCAAAGGTTTTCTAAATGACATGATATATTCTTCCTCTTCGTCACAGAGGTCGTGCTCCACCAGTTTCTCCATTAGTTGAATAAATCGATCATACTGAAAAAAAAAAAACATATTTCATCAGAGAGCAACAACAGCTCTTTGTATGACAAGAAAACATTGCTTAGGGAAACTACAAGAAAACATTGCTTAGGGAAACTTTTATTTTCATAATTGTCATCCACACTTGTGGACTTTCAAAATTTTCATAGGGGATATTTTACATTCTTGAATACAAAAAAAAACATAAAATTTGCTTATACTCTCCGGTAAAGAAATAACACTTGAAAATGGCATCTTTTGAGTTCTTCATTCCAATATTAATCATTAGATCTTAGAATAAAATAACAGATAAGCGAATTCACATGGAGAAAATAACTAACCACCCAATGTCACAACAAATCACTTCAAACCACCCATTCAGTATTGTACAAAATACAGACTTGTAAACAGCACCCACCAATATAAATCTAGAATTAGATAAAGTAACAATCAAACTGTCGCATCAAACAGTTGTTTCGCCCTTCTAGGACTCGTCAGTGATGCTAAGGGAATAAATTTTGAAACCTAGGAGGTATGAAGGAAAATCCAAAATGATCAAAAGAAATACTAAATTCTGCCTGGGAGTCACTAGCCCCATCATTCAAAAAATATCTTGATATATCTGATGTTTTAGGCAAAACATTTAGTTATGTATTAATATTCTGAATAACGTTTTTAATGTAATGACTAGCAATGTGGCTTGTAAGCAAAGAAACAATAAATACTAGCTGCAATCTCGGCTAGAAAGAACTTCTCTTTAGTTCAATTTGTTGAGTGTCAGACTAGTAAGCCAGGGGTCCCAGGTTCGAATCCTAGTGGAGGTATTAAAATAAAGAATGATCTCTGTTACACTGAAGCCCACATAAGTATTTAGAAATAATACTTAGCCATACCCAACCAGTATCGCTGTAACCCCTAAAAACTTGAGGATGAGTTATTTCCTGGAGGGGGAGTGTGTAACCTTGGTTAGTACCAGCCACAATATACTGCTCAGTGAGAGAGTACTTCTCTTTAAATAGATAGGTTGAGCATTAGACTAGTAAACCTGGGGTTTTGGGTTCGAATCCTAGCAGAGGTATTAAAGTAAATAATGACCTCTGTTACAGTTACAGTATTAAGATCATAAACAAAAGAACCCTATGTTCCTTCGGTGGGTAGAACCTAATACTTACATCTGTTTGATTTACGTTCTCTCTTGTCTTTACTTTGAAGTCCTCATAGCTCAGCCATTCAGAAGTCATCACGCTCCTGTAATAAGTGAGAACAATTTTAGTGAAAAATTCATTTCAAACTAAAATAAATTACCTGATGTTCATGTTTCTTTTCTGGACCATTAGAAACACTTTTCAACAGAAAATATCTGTACAGGATGAATCTAACAATGCAAATTTTGTTGACGAGTTTTATAATTTTCTACACAAGATCCTAGAACAATTCCTTAGGAAATGAGGTCAAAGGTGACAGTGATCCTTTGTGAAGGGATGAAACTGACATTGGCAATATCCCATCACTTCCCCCACAAATGTCTAGGGCACACATTGTAACTTTAAGTACAATTTCTTCCATCGCTCAGAACAATCTACGTCTTAATTACTGATATCATACAACAAAATGATAAAATAAATTTAAATAAAAAAAAAAGACGAAACTTTGCTGTCTGCTGTAAACCATATTAACTCTCTTTTAAATGCAATTTCAATCCGTAAATTTTACATATCAAACAAACTAACAGATTCATGTAAATCACTGCAAATTAACAAAGGAATGATCACTTGCATTGGGTATCATGAATCTATTTTAACTAATATTTACAAATGACAGGATAATAAATATGATTTTAACAATATATATTCATACATTTCTTTTTACATGCAGTTCATCCTGAACATTGATTGCTGTGAACTTGCTTTGAGAAGGAAATCATGGTATATAAAATTTTCCAGATCATACTACAAGATTTCTTCATCACTTACTGTAGAGGTTGGGACCTTTTTATAATGAATTTGTTTTCCTCCATCTTAGCATCCAGCTTCTCTATCTTTTGTACAATATCCTATTAAAAGAATGATCAAAGACAGTGTAAACAAAATTACAGCAAAGAATTAATAGTATGTTAAGGCTATTTTACAGCAAACAATAAACAGCCTATCAAGGCTATTTTACAGCAAACAATAAACAGCCTATCAAGGCTATTTTACAGCAAACAATAAACAGCCTATCAAGACTATTTTACAGCAAACAATAAACAGCCTGTCAAGACTATTTTACAGCCTATCAAGTCTATTTTACAGCAAACAATAAACAGCCTATCAAGGCTATTTTACAGCAAACAATAAACAGCCTGTCAAGACTATTTTACAGCAAACAATAAACAGCCTATCAAGGCTATTTTACAGCAAACAATAAACAGCCTGTCAAGGCTATTTTACAGCAAACAATAAACAGCCTGTCAAGGCTATTTTACAGCAAACAATAAACAGTCTGTCAAGACTATTTTACAGCAAACAATAAACAGCCTATCAAGACTATTTTACAGCAAACAATAAACAGCCTGTCAAGACTATTTTACAGCAAACAATAAACAGCCTATCAAGGATATTTTTACAGCAAACAATAAACAGCCTGTCAAGGCTATTTTACAGCAAACAATAAACAGCCTGTCAAGGCTATTTTACAGCAAACAATAAACAGCCTGTCAAGGCCACTCCAGTAACAATTCTTCATGATTTGATTCTGATGAGTTCGGAAAACCATTTCCAAAACTATGAAGTATCAAATTTGAAACAGGAAAAGCTTGAGTTGCAGCACAGAATCAAATATTTGATTTCCAAAGATCACTGGGACTTCAGGTTTTGTTTAGTGGTGTAACTCTGAGAATTCAATAGATTTGCCTAAATGTATTAGGCAGGAAACTGAACACAATCATTTAAGTAATTTATGCTTAGTGGAATAGCCCTCAGCAGAATAAACCAATTTTAATTAAGTTACCAAGGAGATCTATCTGGAAGTCTGGTATTTTCTCTCCTTTTCTTTTCTTTTAATCTGTTATTTTTGTCAGCTGTATTTCAAAATCCCAGGAGTTTTATCAGATCTACACAGTATCAAGCACAATACTGGTACACTACATTATAAGAACAAAATGTAGGACAGACTGTGTACAGACTGGAATTTATATCTGGTTCTGATCAGAATGGAACTGGGAGACCAACACAACAAATTTAAATACATATCCATCCTTATAAAATTTGTTTCCAAAAAATTACTGTAATATCAAAATTAAATGAAAGATTGAAAATCTGTTAGCCAGATTACTTTACAGATCAGTCTCTAAAAGAAATATAGATAATTGGGCAGGAAAAGTCCTATCAGGTTATATAACTAGGATATAAATAAAATAATGATCAGTCATCATTGCCAGTCATTTGCGATCATTGTTCGATAAAGAAAACTGAGGTTTTTGAAAGCCGACAGTTTTCATTCTGTGTTTGAGTTTCTGTGTTTGCTTCTCAATCAGGATCCTACACTTGAAAAAGTTCCTTTCATGATTTCTTAAGGAAGGGAGATAACAAAAATTGTTGAAGGATGGATCATGTATGAAGTATGATGTCAAAATACAAAACTGCATTTGAATACTCTGTAGTTTCAGTTTAGAACATGTTCAATATAAGGAACACCATAAAATATTTTTGAATTTTTTAAACCATACACATGTGTGTTAAGCTGCATATCATCCAGTTGTTCATTCATGATGTATTCATATAAAAAATACATTGTCAGGGATTAATACAGACAAATTTCATTACCAGAAAAGGTGTAGCATTCCCCAAGTGATATGTTCTCCTCTCTGAATGTAAACAAATTCCCCATTGAGGAAATATACTGAAAACATGGAACATTTCCCCAAAAAGAGGGAAACTTTTCCCCAAAACAGAGCTAATTAGTATATCTTTACTTAACATATTTACAAACCTACTATTAATCTAACTTCAACACTGTCCTTATTTTATTGATGTAATTTTCATGTATGTCATATATTTTGATCCTACCCCTCTCTATTAACTTAATGAAGAGCAAAAGGGCTATCTGAAATTTAGAATCAATTTCTCAACACAGGCCAAAAATTCCCCTTTTTCTTGTGATGTTTAAAATACTGAAGAGTTCCCCATTGAATACTGATAGATGAACTTGCTCTATACATTGCCCCTGTGCACCCTGTTATCCTAAATTATTCAAAACAAAACGCATTATCAATATCATATTGGATTTTGGAAAATGAAAAGTGATGTATACCAGGTATTCTTTCAAAATTTGTCACATTTACCTTGAAATCTGGACATATATCAAAAACTATAAGACTGCAGACACTTTTCATCCATTCTAAGGTATTCCTATTTTGTATTTCATGTTTATTTTTGTTGAAAAAAATTACTGATCATGTTGTTTGCTGGCAAGATTAGCAACTAGGTGCTAATTGAGTGTAACATGACGGTCACATGACTGTGTACTGTGCTTCATACATCTATGTAGTAATGGTGGACATAGCATATGGTGATTTAAGAATACAGTAAACACAACAAAAGAAATTATCGAAATGAAAGTAATTTCAAGATATGTATCTTTCCTGTGTGTTTAACAATAAAAATGTCAGTGTTACTCTTCATGTGTAGTTTGATCATTCCTGATAAAAATGTTGACAGTCTCAATCAATACTTACATGCATAAATTGGTAGTAGTTAGGCCGTGTTGTGTAAAACATTGGATGAAACGGTCTACCATCCCTGCCAAATTGTGCCTCTGGAAACATGGAAAAACAGTAAATTACAACTGCTTCCTAGATAACAAATATCATGTGCAACAAACCCAGGCTTTGCCCTGGTAGCATTCCCATCCATATCTATTGACATTCATTAATAAGTATTTCATTGTCTTGTAATAAGCCCACCCCCCAACGTTGAGTCAAAGGTAATAGTTTGGCCTTTTGGGCCTATTGCAGGAAAAATATGATAGGTACGTTAATCAGTGAATAAAATTTTCCACTGTACAAGAAAATTAAAAAGCTTACCTTCCTCTTCCTCAATATAACTTTCACATTTTATCAAATCATTTTTCTAACACCAATGGAAACCCACGAGATGTTGCTATTTTGCAAGTTAAATGATAATGTGTCCTCAATACTTGACTTAAACAGAATATTACTGTATTTACATCTAACAATTTAACACATTTTAACTTTGTGGACAAATTTCTTAACAATAGAATAAATATTCAATATAAGTTAATTGTACAAATAATAAGAAAGTGCTTTCAGGAACATTTTCTGCAGGTTGGTAATGTCAATAGACTATAAGTTCTTATAACACAACCAGTAGAATATTATACCATAGACGGGGAAAATTCCAAAATAGTTGACAGGGTAAACAACCTTTTCAGGCAGCTGGTCAAGGAGGCCAATGGATACACCACAGCAGACCAGTACTAAACAGGGATGAGGGGGCTAGAGACACTCAGACAACTATGACCAAGTGTTAAGCCTAGCGGAATCAACTACAGTATATCTTTACCACCTTGTGCACTTTTTTTCTATGATCTGTTTATCATCTTGTTACACTATTTTCAACCATAGTGTACATAGGATTATAGTACAGAATAAGTTGGTCGATTCCTTACCATCTCGTACACTGCATACATCAATGCTAGTACAGTACACTGGTCATTAGTCTGATGAAGGTGACTAAAACACCACACTCAAATCTTCTACCAGTGAGAACTTTTATTCTGTTTAAGGAAGAATAGTTGCTCTTATCTTTAAAACACTCAATATTTTGCCAGACTATATATCAATGTGTTGCTGTCAACCTACAGACTAAGACTTAAGATAAACAAAGCACCTGTCAACCTGCTCGCTTTCAGTTATATGTATGTGTTTTAATACTATACTTACTTTTTTTATGTGGAAGGACATCATCTGCTTCCTGATAATAAAGAAAAGAATATTAGGAAAAAAAATAGCAACAATGAAACATTTCAATGTGAGATAAGATTGAGGAGATTTAATCACAAACAGATCAGATTTTTTTTTAATGTTTACTCAAAACAAGGTAGGGCAAACAGTAAGAGGAAAATTTGGATATATAAAACAGTTGAAGAAAAATAACCTAGTGTTACAGGGCCCATACATGTGTAATGAGTCAACCTTCTGATGCTATTTTCGATAAAAAAAAATTCTAATATTTCAAACAAGAAGTCCAGTGGGCCTGAATATCCCACTCGTTTTGCATCTTACGAAGATGATTTTGACAATTTTTAAGTCAATTTCTGTAACCTGGAGAGTTCATACCCCAAACATGCTGCTACACAAATACCATAACTCAGGTCCTAATGGTTATTCAAAAGAAATTTAAAGATCTGTCCACCTTTGACCCCTATGACCTTGAATGTGAGTGAAGGTAATTTATATGAATTAATTTGGTAGCCCTTCATCCCAGCATGTTACAGGTCCAACATCAGCATCCTAGGCCATCTTGTTATTGGAAAGGAATTTTTTGGCAAGTGAGCTAAAATTTGATTAACTCTAGCTCCCCTAGTGTGGCATGCTTGTTGCTGATAAGATAATGAACTCACCAACAGGTAGGGGTGAGCTTTCTTGTCAAACAGTCCTGATGGCATAAGGTATCTCACAGCAATCTTGACATGTTCCTTCGTAAAATCTTTATGATGTATGCCCATCATGTTGGCGAGATGTTTTCTCCCAAGTTCATACTCATATGTCAGTGTTTCTTTCTCCTTTTCTATGTAAAACACATTAAAAATATACTGATGATTTTGTAATAAACATACAACATAATGCATTATGTTGTATTTAACCTACAGTGAGTTCACACAAAGAAAATGACATATTCAACAAGGTTGGTGGACTCACTAGAATGATTTAATATATTTATCTATTCCTAATGTCATTCAATATGAGACAGGTTTTGAATAGCTACCCATTATTGTTGCTAAACTTTCCTGGTTTCCTGGTTTTGATTTGTCCTAAACTAGAAAATATCTATAAGACATGATTGATAAGAATTTGGTGCAGCCTGATGTCATGCAACAGATGGACACCATATTCTTCCAATCGCCCAATAAAACAGAATGGCACAAAAATATGTTATCTATTTCACTAGTCAAGGAGATCTGGATATCTTACTATGACTTTTTGCATAAAGATAAACTCTTTCCAGAACCCTGCCTGTAGCATAATTATATAGGGTGCAAACCATATTTCATAGCCGTTTCCAAATATGCCTTCATAGCATTGCTGATTGTCTTTGCCTTCGCTGACTGGTCTGATGATGGATCTTGGTGTCTCTTCACAGTAGTATGAATACCACTCTGTGTATGACAAATACATATATGATGATAATGACTAAAAAATGTTTTCTAACATGTTGACCTATATAAATGAACTTCAAATGTATAAAGTAATTCAAAGTATCAGCAAGGAAACATTTTTATAAAGGAAGTTAGATCACTGATGGGTTCATGGAAGCTCAAGTAACAATAAAGAAATCTTTTTGAAAGAACAAGGGAAAAGGACACTCTTGCCAAATGCCCAACAGGAATGTATAGTCATTATTTATTTCAATGCCTCCACTAGGAGCCAAACCCGGGACCCCTGACTTACTAGTCTGATGCTCAACCAATCAAGCTAAAGAGAAGTTCTCTCTAGCTGAGTGGTATATTGCGGCTAGAATTTTACCAGGGTTACAGGAATCAAGTCTGGCTCTTTACAGTGATAACTTCATGTCTATGATACCTGATATGATCAAGAGCCAAAGAAATATTATCCTTCAACTGAATGACAGAGACCGCATTTAATACTACGTACAAGCTATACCAATCTGCTTCTTTTTCTGCAAATTCTTTTAATGACCCTGCGTTTCATTTACTAACTGATTACCCAAAGCAGTAACTATTCCTCAAATGCAGGACTATTATCCATACCCGCCTATGTAAATATATCCGAGCAGGTGAAATTATTCAATTTATCAATACAAAAGTCTAAGTGAATATATTTTATCTTAACCATCAGTAAATACATTCGAAGACGGACAGTAAACTCAACAATATCTGCAAAACCTTCAGTATGTTGAAGTAGGACGATTAATGGGTAGAACGTAGACATTTCAAAACTTGCCCCAACTTCAAGGTTACCGACCCGGTTAATTAACCAACTTCTATTTGTACAGATAATCAAATGTAGTTACAACGCATTTTTAGAAACGTGTATTGATACCGGCTTTGAATAAGTACATACTCTCGAATTAATGCTAAGTGTCGCTCCTTGTGAATTCGCCAATATTTTGAGGAGCTGCCTCCACGCCAAAGCCCTGGAGGCGGCCATCTTTGCTGTCAATCTGGATCAAGGAAACGTTTGAAATAATATATCTATAGCGGGGATTCGAAGCTCTCCAAAGACACAAGTCATCTGTTATTATTATATTTTTTGTTTTGTGTTATTTTGTTTGTTTGTGTGTTGATTTTACCTTTTAAAACTTCATTTTTTTGTCTTTTTTCTTTTTAAACTTGTAGACGGAGACAAACAGTACCCTGAGTTATAATCTTTAACCATATTCGTTGTCTGGACTAGTGGGTTCGTTCGGATAGGGAGTCCCTGTGATCCCTTTTCCCCCCACTTCATTTATTGTGACAAATAAAAATCAGTTTGATTTGGTCTTGAAATATATCACATCGTTACTGAGGACATATATTGAAATATGACAAAAGTTATTAATTTTCCTTGGGATTTGGTCATCAGTTTTCGAGGTGTTGTTGATAAGTGTGTATCCGGGTGTTGGATGTCTGATACAATATTTGGGCTATGTAACAATCAATCTACATGTAGGCTTTGAATCATCTCGGAGAATTCCGGTCACGTAACTTCATATTCAGGTGTTGCACCCTCAAGTTAAATAAAACAAAAAAGAAAGAAAAGAAAAATGCTCGCTTTCCTTCATTTTTATGTAGACAATAACGAAATACGAAGGGAGACTTAAATTTAAAACGATTTTGAACGTTAATCGTGACCTGTGTAGTAGTGTCATATTAGCAGAGGGCCCAACGTATTTGGTATGATGAGCGTGTAATTTGGTATGATAAACAAATATAGTCGTAGAACGCTGCTTTAGGATTCAACAGTGAATACAGAAACCAGGCTTTACCTAGATATAACATTTTAGAATGCAATATTTTAATGAATATCGTGTTTGAGTGATAAAATCACTGCTGTTTCCATTCGTGGTAGACATATTTACTGATATTTTAGGTTTAGAAGTTGTTTAACAAACTACACGATATTCTGAGACAGAAATCAGCAACCCACATATCCCCCTCATGACGTTTTCAACTGGACAAGCACACTAAGTCAATTTAAACAACAGTGTGACATACAAATCAAAATCTCAAACTGCACGCCACGTATTGTAAGTGTTACTGTTTGTTTGGGTGATAGTCATTTTGAGGCGAGGTCTCACTCTAGTAGCTGGCGGATACCTCACTGAACAACATGCGGGAAAGCCTCCGTAAACTGAATTAAGCAGTGACAAAGGTCTGTAATGTCATATCAGCGTAATCTTGATTACAAGCCTGTAAAATCTTCACACTTTCGCCCTTCAATGGCAATAAATACACAAACGATAGCGTATCTATTCTCCGACCCTCGAACTGGACAATAAACTTATATGGACTGACCATTGAAGATGACCACAGATACTCTATAATTGCTCGGCAGACACCTTTATGGATACAAACTTTATTAGCAAAATTATCGCCTTAGGAGAGAAATGATTCTATAAAATAATGAGAATTTTGGAGAGGTGTTGTTGATCGTAAACAGAATAATGTTATTGATCGTAAACAATCCATTGTCTAGTTCCGTCACAAATAGATGTTCCTCTCTCCTTAGAACCGTAACCTGAAACACGTGTAGAATAATGAGAATACTACTTAATTTGCATATTTGTAGCATAAGTGAATACCTGGCACTTTGAATAGGTATTATAATTACTTCAGTTTTCAATACTAAGGGAGGTAATGTTTTCGTGATATAATTACATAAAATAGTTACATATAGTTTGTAATCAACTTTTGTTAACATCTACTAAAAATTACTGACGTTAATGAAAATGTCCTGGAGAAGAAATCAGCTAGTTTCGACTTTTCTCATTGGATGTATATTCTGGACTTCTGCTGTCGATACAGGTAATGACGTTGGTTTGATTTTTCATTGCTAATACAATCCTCTCCAGATTTCTAAGTAAATTTCGTTTCGTTTTATTGAAAATTTTGAATTGATCATAGTATAAGAACTATTATAAGAATACGTTTTTAAAACTTCATCACTTGAGGAGAAATATTGTATGGAAGAACTTCATGTCTGAACGAAATATGCAAACATTTTATTTATGTATTTATTTATTTTATTTGTTTCTGCGATATTAACTCGCAAGTAAGGATCAAATAGACTAGAAATGAACTTGCTTGTTTTTAGACTTAAAATTGGACATTTTTTAAAGAAACATTGAACTATATAGAGGAAAACCCTGATTTAATAGCACTCCTTCATTTGTTGAAGGTTCGTATACAAAATCATCTCTCTCTTCACATTTCAGGAGATTAGAAATAAATACTTTCATAAAAAAACACACCAACATCACATTAACACGACACATTACGTCATGAACTTTGCGCTCGATTTTCGGACGTTTGTGACGCTTCTGAAAATTTTGGTATTTGTATATAGCGTGTCGTCTTTGGATGAGATAATGGGGATATGTTAAAAGAGGGGATCGGCTTTTTCTCACAAATATTACACCTACCTTCGGAATGTCCAACGGGTTCTGCTCTAAATTATTGTTTAAATGACAACAATCATACCTCACCGTCGTTTGTAAAATGTTGAGTTCTTTTTTCTAAAGCTTCAGTTAAGTTCTGGCTTTTGTTTTATAAAACATTTGTGAAATTGCTGACACAAAAGAAGAAACGGACAGTAAAGAAAATTGCTTATATTACTTTATAAAACAATAATGAAATAAGATTTTTATATCAGATAACCACGGCCTGTTTTGAAGGCTTAATGATATCGATATAAATCTTTGGAGATAAATAACCAAGCAGAAATTTTCCTTAAGATAATTAAATCTTAGTCTCATTTAATATTAGAATGTAAAAACTTTGTATTCTCCACTACATGAACATGTGTATATATAACTTAACCAGGTGATAGAAAATCAAATGTTTTTTACTATAATGTACGGTATAGAATATTTATGTAAAAAGAAGCATACGTGTTTCCTTTAAACATATTCTGTGACACATAAATGTATATACAACGACGGGATTAGGTATGCGGTACAACAACATTATCAACCCCCACCCCTCTTCCCACACACACACACCTCCACCAAAAAATGAAATGAAACAACAAAATATAAACAAGAAACCTTGACTGAAATCAGTTAATTCAGTAGACAAAAAGGTAAACAAGTAAATAAAAAGATAAATAATGTAAATAACATATGTAAGAAGTCAGAGGACAGTAACGCTACAAAGACGTGTTATAGATAAACCAAAGCTGTATATTATCCTCCGGGTTGGGTGTAAGAAGTTTACCTACTCTCCCTATTGTATGATCGCAAGAGGCGACTAAACTTGGGATCTTTTTATTTTTTCTCATTTCTGAAGATATTTCATCTTCACTATTCCCCATTGACTATGCCTAATATTTAGCTTATAGTTGACAGTTCGCCTTTGTGAGGAAGGTTGTAGGTCCTGTCAACAGGCCGAGACCCACCAGGGTCAAACTCAATATTATTCCGTTTTACTTTCAGCATAATTAGTTTAAAGTCTGGGTTACACCGTCACCATAATGTGATCGAGTGAAGCCACAGGTATTTGACACGAATTCCAAACCCACAGACCCTATATATGCATTATATAATATATATATATATATATATATATATATATATATATATATATATAACACATATGGTCTACGGATTGGGTAGTCGTGCCAAGATCATGTGAGTGGGGTTTCCTAATGGAGCTCTTTAACAGTACATGTATACTTCAGTGAGAGTTCAATTTTGATAGAGAAATTATCTAAAATGAATAGATGTGTTAGAAAAAAAATCAAACTTGACATTGAAATAGGAAGGAACTTCACATGTGTTGCTTGTTAACAGGAACGATCAACACCAAGTGCTCTAAGGTCAATATGTCCCTAACATTGGCTTGTGATCAAAGTGAGGTTATCTATATTCACGAGACAACCTTGACCGACTGGCCAGGATCGATATCGGCGTCCACGTGCGAACTGCCTCTGTGTAATCAATATTGTCGTGCATCCACACACAATCACGATATCCACTTCAACGGCCGGCAGACGGCACAGTACACGTTTTTGCGGGAAAGTTTGATTGGACACGATTTCTTGACCGGAAATTGCAATGCATCATCGTCTTCAAGTTTGGTTCATATTCGTTACGAGTGCTTGGCAGGTATTATGTTTTAACAAAATGTTTGGGAATTGAAATATTTCAAGGAAATACAAAACTGAATGGCGCTCGTCAAATATGATTGAAATTACGGATAGTAGAGAAAAGGCATATTCCGTTTCTTAGGATTTCCGTGAAAAATACATAATAGCTTTTGCTAAAATGTTTCTGAAATTCCGATATTTTCTTATCCCAAGATATCGCGTTTCATCATTAATTTTGGTGTGAATATTGTGTTCCGTAATACAATGTTATTGTATTTTTTTTTTCTTTTATAATAATTAGCAAGCAGCCTAAATAACGTGTGTAGCAACGCCAAAATTACGGGCCTGTCATCCGGGTTCCTGACAAGTCCTGGGTTTCCAGGTTCGCCCCAATCACAACAAAATGGCTGCCAATGCGACCTGAAAGTATCAGACAATGGTATCGTAACAATGACAGCTATTATCATCAACCCTATCCTTACTGACCAACAACCCAGGTGGACATTTGAGGTCGTCGATGAAAAAGGTAGCCTTTATACACGCTATCGTCTTTTCACTAGCATGCATTGTTTTTATGTCCTGCTATGTGCGTGTATGTTGCAATGGCGAATCTGAACATGGTGTCGTCCATTATGAAAAATGTGAAGCATGATGGGAAATATGGAAAACAAAAGTGCATACCGTATTTAAAAAACAGTTTGTATGCATAAACGCATTGTTTTGTATAAATGAACAATTCTTTAAGAGTGGTAATCAAAATCAAGCTGAGAAAATAAATGACTTTAAAAAAATCTTTTTGAAAATATTATTGAATACAATTATTGACATTCTGAAGGTAGATCATGTATCTATATATGTTTTTCTTTCAACTCTTTTCTTAAGATTACTGTTTCGGTAGTAACTATTTGAATAAAATAAAGTGTCATAATTTCATAATAATGGAATTTTGTTTAAAAAAAGTCACATACAGTACATAACTAAACTGAACATAAAAACCAAACAATTTTAACCTTTCACAGGAAAAGTTCAAATCATGGACTCTCAAGCATTGTTTTCATCGACTATCGACATCCACTCCTCGAACAAAATAAAAGTGAAATTTTCAAGTACCGGTGACACAACAGGAGGACGCACCCACTTCACTTCCTATCCAAGTGGTTTCTGGGTAAAATACTCAGGTAGGCCAAAGTTATCTACTCGTTTAATTCCCGCAATGCATTCTGGGGAATGTTGTTTACCAGCAACAGAGAACAACATACATTATTCCTAAGGACAATATTCTAGAGTCGAAATATTTTCCCGTATTAAAATTGATCTAATGGTAACTTAGTGAAATTGGTCTTCGGAGGTAGAATATGATCCAAAAATACATCAAACTGGACACCAATAGATCGGTTTTAAACGATAACATCATTAGCCGAAAGTGATGATAGAACGAAAATTTGATTTTGTAAAAAAAATTAGAAAAAAAAACTAGGCTAGTGACCTTCTGAAAGGTTGGCAATATGTTTCAAAACTCCACAAAGTGAAATATTTATCTTTGAAATATTTCAGGATTATATAGATTAGAAAGTATGTCGGGAGAAGGTTGACTTTCTTACCGTGACGAAAAGATCAAAATTGTAATTAAAAAGTATGTTAGTGATGGAATGTAAACAAGGCAACATAGATAAGAAAGTAAAACCTGACTTGATAGCTGAGAATGTTCTTTTTGTAGCATTTCCACTGTTCTCCACGATAACGCTCCAATGTACAGCGCCCCCTGATGGGAAAGCTGTATCTGCAGGTACGCCATATTGTGTTATTGTTATTTATTGTCATTATTTATAATTTTCATCATTTAACTTAATATTTCTGAAACTATAGGATTGGTTTTATTACAAAAAGCTCCCTAACCAGTCACTTGTCTTACAATATAAGATTCAAAAGGATAATGACCTTGACCTTGGCAAGAGACATAGCTGATCGCCGCCATTTCTCTTAACCCGTGGTATGCTTAGATAACTTTAGCTGGACTTGTTTACATGGTGACTTTCAATTTACTTATGTGGGTATGCCGATAGTCAACATGTTGGTAATTAATACATTATGGTATTCGATCACAGAACAGAATTTCCATAATATATTTATAATATAAAACATTATTATATAATGTGGCTGTATGTCTTCTGTCATTGGATGAATCCCTCACACTTGACTTTTGCTAAATTGTGACATCAAATGGATATTTCCTGTTCAATCGGTTCATATAAAAAAACGGTTAATATCAGGCGCCACTAAAACAGATTCTGGAAATACCCTAACATCCGGGTTCCTATAACCGCAACGCAACCTGAAAAGATGGAGTCGGATGGTATGTCTGCTTCTCCTGCATGGATTGATCTTTCTTGATTATATAATAAAACAGGTCGCCTCGATCAATATTTTTTTCTTTTAAATAATAGCACAACATATTAACCAAGTAAAAAGTCCATAATAGTACAATATCTTATACGTAATTTAGTAATGTATTACGTTTTAACATAAAAATGGTTGCCATAGATACTACTAGATTTGTTTATTTCCAGTTACTGTCGGTGTATCGTGTGCCTTGGTAATTGCCTTTATACTGTTTACACTAGCTGTGGTGTATGTTGGCCGTAAATGGTACGTACAGAGAAACACTTAAATTTTTACATCATACATCAATTCCTGATAAACTTTGGTAATGTCAATAATCTGAAAAAATATGCTTTATTTGGCTCCATCCTGCAAAGCAGTTTTGTGATGGAGGGACTACCCGACTTTGCCTACGTAATTCTATAGGCCAGACATTGAGCATAGACAATGTCGCTTTATATTGTAAGAGGAAAAATTGAAGCAATGTGTACTTGATTTTCAAAAATATTTTGCTACCATGGAATCATATTATGACTGAACAAGGAAACATCATAGTCGTTGGCTACTATATTTACGTCAACAACAGTGGGTTCGATATTGAATGAACGTCTCGAAATTCACGGAATGTAGGTATTTGATGATGGTATGTCTAGAACAAAACTGGAAAATGAAGTTTTAAGTAATATTATATATTAATTGATAAGTATAATAATATATAATTTTCGGATTGGATCAGGTGGCGGAACAAACACCCGAAATTACGAGTGAAACAACAACGGAAAGCGACACCTGGCGGTGGGCATGACAATTACGGACTGGAGTTTGATTCCTCTTCAGACCGCTGGACGGAAACGGAAGTACCGGATTTTAGTGGCAATAGGTGTATGTCACTTCCGGAAATTTACCTTGCTCAACAGATAGGTAAAATGAAACTAGCAGGACATTCAACCCCTCGCAAAGGTCGTGTTGAAGGACGGCGAAAAATCTCAACTGCAAGTCTTCCCTCCACATCGTCACATGGGTTATCTGTAATCACGAACGAGATTGTACGAGAGTTTGATGAGTTTGACGACATGACCGGAAGTTACGAGTCTTTTGCCGCGGAAATTTTTTATCTGGAAGGAATCACTTTTGACGAAGTCGAAGTGTGAGGCGTGATGTCTTGTTGACTGTTGTCAAGAGCAACATTGGTTAAGCTATTTTACGAATGGCACTGCATCTTTTTATATGGAAATGACCTGCTGTTATGAGAATGACTGTCATATAATTTGTTTGGCCATTACAGAACTAAATGATTGACATTCTTTAATCACTTAAAATTATTTGAAATCATTAGACATTATATCAACAGAGTACATATGTGTTGGAGTGTTTTCATTCCACCTTTTTTATTGGGGTGGGGGGATGGGCGTTTTTCAATACGTGCATGACCATTGGTAAACATACAGGTATCATTTATTTTATTCGTGTTCTCAACAGGTCGTTTATTGAGACTGTAATTCTTCAAGTCATTTCGCTGGGTTTCATTTGTCTACATTTTGTTTCTAACTAACAATTGAGAACAGTTAGAGCGGGGAAATATTATGACATACAGATATTGACTTGGATATATGGGTATTTTACGATAAGGAAAATATGAAAAAAAAAACAAACAAACAAACAACAGCAAAATACAGACAATCCAATAGAATGTTACGTCAAATAGAAAGTCGATTAACTATAATAAAATAAGAACAAAAGAAAAATTAACACGAAGTCTCTTGAAAAAGTTCAAGGATAATAAGATCAGGTGTTCAGAAAGAATAAGCGTTTTCTGCTTCATTGACGACATCCGCCATTTAAATCTTGGTCAATCCAAGTAAGTATCACGTTCTCATATTAGAACAAGGTATACAACATACACGGCATTAAAATCTAGATCTCAAGATCAACACAAAAGTTTGGGAGAGTTATCTACCTTTGCGCACTGATATGATTTGCACTGACTAGTAATTCTTTAATACGAGTTACATTTCCTTGCCTGTGAACAAAACAGCCAAGATTTTCTTTTAAGTTATGATAAAACAACATTGTGTTCTCGGTAAATAAAATGCTAGTCAAAACATCTTACACTATGATTAAAAAATGAGACTGTGCAGTTACGAATGAATTATTAAAGAGTGGTTGTACTTTAAAAGACTTTACGATTTATTGAATTGGTTCAACCACAATTAATGACATGAGATGGTTGGGTGGCGCAGTGATAACGCACTCGTCTTTCACCGAAACGTCCGTGGTTCGATTCCTGGAACGGACGTGAAAAGGTATGGGGTCTAATCCCCGGTTTCCTCCCAAAGTAGGACCCTTGTTTCCAGCCTGGCAAGCAAGAGTGGCTTAGGGAAAAAACTTGTTTCGCAATTGTTTTAAAATAAATAAAATTTGTCCATTTATACCATTTAAGAATGAACTATAACCCGTTTTGCCAAGCCAAGGTAATTCAACAGAAATAGTAACTAAAAGAAATTCTTGATATATAGGAAATTAGAAAAATAAAAGATTGCACTAGCGCTGCTCTCGACAAAACAATTACAAAAAAATACAAGTTTTTTTAATGCAGGCGTTTTCTCTAAGAGCTGAAATATTTCTAAAAAAATTAATAAGATTTCAAACGACTAAGTATGGAATGGTAGCAACAACATTAGTCATAAATTTGATTATCATTTTAGGTAAATAAACTTTGAAAATGTAGGACACAGTATTGTTATGTATTGTACTTATTGTATGGACTAGCTGTTATCTCAGTGGGAAGTTAGATGTTTGAAATGTTATAAATAAAATGTAAATTTTCACAAAATCCATATTTCCACGTTATAATCATCGTGATATCATTATTTCTGTTATGTTTAATTCACATGCGCTATTACATTTAAATATTACACTATACTAACCATTCGTGTTTCCAGAAAGCTAATATAATTACTGGAAACACGAAGAAAAAATGCATTATCATTTCAGGAAGCTAAACAAAGATTGTACATATGGCACAATACAGCAGAGTCAGAGAGACAGATAATCATTAAACTGCGTTATACCGTTGTTTTGTCCTTCTAAATCTCGTCAAAATTGACTGAAATAAGTGTAAAAAATCTATGTCGATAGCTTATACTGCTCCGTATCTCATTTTGGTAAATAAATGATATAACCACTGGACTCGGGGTCAAGAGAATTAGAGAAAATAAAATATAGTGAAATAAAAATGGTAATATAGGAAAAAAGCAAAGAAATAAATATCATATGTTATCGATCTACACTTAGGCCGAATTATCCAATATTATATTGACAAGATGCATCTTATATAACCATCGTTTTCTTGTTACGAAAAAAAAGTTGTATTTGATGTTTTTTATGAGATATTCAGAGAAAAAAAATTATAATAAGGTATAATATTTGACAAAATTATGCCAGTATTTGTCTCGTTTTTTTTTTTTTTTTTTTAATTTTTTTAACTTTTCAAAATAATTTCTATATCCTATAGAGTTTCTGATTTTGATGGACTATCACTGGTTTTATTTTTCAAAACTTTGAAGGACACATTAAAACATATATTTCTTGTGTTATTATTCTTTGACTGTATACACAAAACTATATTTGTATTTTCTTGCTATAAAAAAATAGTGAATTAATTAAAGTTCTGGATATGAGCAAACAAGGAAGTTAAAAGTGTTTTATACAATTTGACATCGGTTTTCATCGTAACCACATGCATATTATTATATAACATATATCAAACTCTGAAATGTTTTCACCTTAACGGCAAAAAATGCTGAAAAAAATATGTTTAAAAAAAACAAATGTCGTTCCCAGTCTGGAACAATACGACTATTAATATCAACCGCAGTCAACGGGATCCTGACGTCACGAATATTTATCGTCAATCTAAATGAGCCGGTATGACGAAAGTAGCCTGTGGCAATTTGTTATGAGACGTCAGTGACAAAGAATATAGAACATATCAGGTTGTAGCTGTATATATTTCCTCGTTTCGGCGGCGTGTATATAAAGACACATATCACATCTCGCTTTCAGTGTGATCTCTTCACTGGATAGAGCAACACTATGGTAAGACTGAAGATTTATTTACAAATAGATCTTGTGTAAATCTTGACAAACGTTTATAATAGGAAAATTATAGCAGATATTAAAAATATAATCATTGATATGTATATAAACATTTTTGGATCTGAAAAGCAAAATTGTGAATGTTTCTACTAAGTTTTCTTGGTTTGCATTTTTAGTTTTTAGGATTTATAAAAGAATATAAAACAAGTTTTTTTTGTGTATAGTCACTGCATCAATTTGAGAAACGAACTTTTAAAAAAATATTCTACATGTATATTTTTTTTCATTTTTTATTCTTGTAATATTTCTTTGTAGAGACCAAAACAAATAAGTATTTATGAATTTTATACAATTTGCACGTATAGAACACGGTATATTTACTATAGAGACTGATATACGTGTACCATCATTATATATTAATTGACTTGCATCTTTGTCTTTTCCTTTTTTAGATTTTCATCTTCGTTCTTAGCGCTATAGCAGCCAGTCTATCCCCTGCTGAGGGAATACCACTAGTTAAAGAATGCACAAGATACAAACCCTTTGTTAAAGACTGGATTTGTCAAAAGGAAACATTCGACGCGTAAGTATATATATATGTTATGATATTAGGCGCTAATATGCTTCAATTTTCTTTCCTATTGACTTATGAAGTTATTACATATTTAATTTTCTTAATTCACCGATTCCTTTTCTGAAATGTCCTCGAAATATGAACTTTTCCCTTTGTATATTGAAAATGGCGAAATTTCACACCATTTAGTGAAATGGCGATTTACAATAGCTTGTGCGTAATTTAAGTTTTATTTATCTATTTATTTTATTTATCTATTTATTTTGATTGTTGTTGGCATTAAAGTTGTTCATTTTTATCAGAGTTAAATCGATTAAATGTTATCTTAAGAGTTATGAAATTAACAAAATAATTCGTGTATGAAAAATAAAAAAAAGTGATTTTAAGTCAGTAACGAAAACGTTTAAGGTTGCAATATGAAAATGACAAAACCAGGTAAATTTAGATAAATGTTAATAATGTCATGTTTCCAAAAAGCAAACCGCGACAGTAACATCGAAAACAAATCATCAAAATTATTTTCTAAATAACCGTGATAATGACATCACTGAATTTTCCCACTAAATTCATGAATTACTTAAAATCTTATTTTATACGTCTGCCTGTCAATTTTACAATGTTATAAACACATTTTTTTCGCTGTTATATTGACAATAATGCATTATTTTACCAGGCACAAAATTAACTATGAGCTGCTCTCAAGCCAAATCGTGACGGGTACGCGAAGGCAATATCACGGATCCAAATATATTCCTGAAACCAGTGAATGTGTTGTAGACATAGACAAACCTGCACCAGTCATTGCTAAAGTGAAAACCAGGTAAGCACTTATGCATTTCTTCTCTACTGTATGATTTCACATCCTTGTGTTCAGTATAAAGAGTAAAGCTGAAACATTTTTTTTTACATTTCAAGACAATATTTCATTTTCATATGTAAACGTGTTTCTTAATACAAATTAGCATTGCTAGTTTTACTTTTGCTGTAAAATTTCTTTAACAATTCTTCAGTTTTTTAAGCTGTCACTTTATTTCTGAAAGATGCATCTTTTCACATACAAAACAAATATAAAACACCTTTCGTTCAACCTGTTGTTTGATTGTTTGCCATCTACAAGAGGGATCTAGTTTTCCCCCTTATGTAGTTGAAGAATAGTTTGTTTTAAATTTGTTTGTTTGAAAATTTGATATTAACAAGTATATATATTTGAAAGTCAGTTCTTAGTCACAATATGGCTCATGGAAATTATCTTTTTTTTTCAGGCATCGTCTCATTCAGTTTGAAGAGCTATGTAAAATGAGAAAAATTCCTATTTGGAATGTATTCCATTTTCTCAACATCGGTAACAGAACTCAACGATTCGAATGTATAGTTGTCAATACAGACTGGACAAAACAGGATATGTATTACGCAGAGTGTGTAAACCCGTGAGTATTTCGCCATCAAGCATTTTTTTTTCTTTTTCTTTGATACTCGGGTTCTCGGGTTCCGTCATAAAATGCCAGCGTGCACCTCTCGTGACGTGATTTACGGTCGATAAAGAATGAAGAGATGTGTTTAAATGTATCGATACCAAATCGATATCTTTGCGATTTCATTTTCAAATGTTCACCTTATTATATCTTGATATCCCAATTGGTAAAAAATATTAAAAAGCAAATGGATTTGATTGTACATTAGACACCGAGAAAACACTTTAGAGCCACACTCTTCAATGTCTATTCTATAAGATCGTAATGCTTATTATATGATTATAATGATATATTTTTTTCTTCATCACAGAGTTGTTAAATCGCACGACAAATGCCAAATGGACTATGGTACCCGTGAAGAATTTAGATGCGTTCAATCAGGATTTGTCGAAAAGCGTATTTTGGTATACTGTCCCGCTGCAGATGACTACGCATTCAAAATAGTAAAGGTTCCTACAACTTGTAGCTGTAGAAAGTGTTTCCACTGCGAAGGAACGGAATTGCTGTTTGCTGATTTACTCGCCGGTCTGAACAACCGATTTACACAACCAATCACCCCTATCAAAGTGAAACCCATGGGCTGCAGCAAATAAAGGATCTGATATATCCAATTGCATATTGAAGGTTTTTCCTTCTTCAAAGAAGCAAATATTTGACTTCACGAAATAACTGTGGTATTGAATACTGCAACGTTTTCTCTCCATTCCTGTCGTTGGGCTGGTGCAATATGTTAATGTTTTCTTTGTAAATTGTTTTGTTAACTCGTCAACTGTATAAATGTACATAACACCATTTGTCTGAAAAATTGTGAATTATTTTTGTTTTAATATTTGTACTTGTTTTTTTTTACTTTGCATACAATGCTTTATCTACTTTTCATCGTAAATAAACATGAATATAAATATGCTGAAGTTGTGTCATTTATCAGCAGATGAATCTCATTGAGAAATATTCTATTTTTTCGCACTATATCAAGTTTGACGTGTTTGATGTTCGTGGTATCGTTATTGGTTACACGGCTTTATTCGCCGTGTCCTTTTTTCAGGGGTCTTTGTGAAGATATGTTTTTTTATTTTTATTTTGCGCCAATATCATCGACTTTCAGTTTGAATTAAAAGGATAAAATTTCTGGCTGATTAGTGCTTTCTTAGAGCCCTTTCTAAAGACTTTAAAAACTATTGTCGGCATCAAAAATCTCTTCTAAGGTCAGTTTGGACGAATTGAAATTAGTGAAAATGTGAATATAGAATTAAGCTGACTAAATACAGTGTAAAGCACAGTGAGGAAATCCGGAACTCGGTCATCGATTGGATCGTAGATTATATACGCACTGTTGGTTAAATGCTTTATTTGACCTACATCATCTTGGGTTTTAAAATGTGCAGAAACATAAATCTGTTTAGGCTCAGTCATGGTCAAGCTAATGTTTATAAATCGATCTGACTAGATCGATATAGAATTTCCATCAATTAAATTCAAGTTTGTTCATATGCTGAATTGAGGCTAACAATTCCTCTAACATCAGCAGATCATTTTTGTAATAATTTTTTGTATAAAAAATCTCGTGCTGAATGTCATGACATACGATATAGAATATTTTTGTATCGTCACTAGTTTTTCCTTTTTTACTGTTTTTTCATGACACGAAAAAGGAATTTTTGAAATTTGGAATGAGAATAAGAAGTGCACCTCGTGGAGACTGGTTAATATACGAAACATTTTTCAGTAGCTACTGAACATGATTTATCAAATGTTCTCTAGAGTTCTTCACAATATAACCCGTATGTTCTTAGGGCTAGTGCACAGTCCTATCTAGATTTTGAAATGCTCTAGTCGAACAATTTGGAATTTCCTCACTAGCCTCCTAGTATCCTTAGTATCACTGCTGGATAACTATGATAACTATTAGCAATAAAGCTCTGTCTATGCATCCAATATGAACGAGGAAGGTCCGTCAATTACCAGGATATCATTTTCAAGTAACCTAAAAGTTAGTACATGTAATAAAAAAAGAATGACCGGCTTTCGTTTCGTCTTTTGCAAGATTTGATAAAGTTTCCGAGAGTTTCTTTGAGCACCTATTTTGGAATCATGAAGCATAAAGGATTAGAATCATACGTATCGTTGATCATAATACAACATTAGCACTCGAAGAACTTGTTTCGATATCAAAGCGAAGACAACGGGAGTCAAAAGATACGTAGACAATGTTATATAAACGCCATATATATATATACTTCACATTTCCTATAACTAAGATTCGACTATCAGGTAAGTATATCCTGTACAGGAATTTCAATAAAATTCATCACTAATACTGTTAAGTTACGGTTTTACTTCTGTTGACCATGACAGATATTATATCTGATAAACATCTCTTCGAGATAAGCGAGTATTCGATATAAGCAAGTTTAATGTTTTGTGTAAACTTAGGCAGGGATCGAAGAAATTCTTCGAATTAAACGAGGCCTTTGAATTATACGACTTCGAGATAACGAAGTTGGACTTTATGTATATACATATATTTACACAAGTTAAACAAACACCTATACAGAATGTCAATATGTGTCAGACCACAAGTGTGTTATACTTTGATTTTTTTGGAATGTTCAGGAATGAAATTCTTGATGTGCTTGGTACTTAGTGATATAAACGGTATCTCTAGGTGAAGTATCAGCTGTAATTTGCAGGAAAATAATACTAACGCAGGAAAGGGTATTTTTGAGCGATTTTACTTTTCACTATTTTAAACGATTGTAGGAAACCGATAAAAATAACTCTAGCACGAATCTTTAAGCAAAACTGCGAAAATTTGAATCATAGAAAGGACCGTGTTTACATAACATCATAGTAGATACAATATATTGTCAGATATTAAATTTATTTCATTGTAATGCTCAACAACATCACGTTAATCTTTGTGTTAAGAAAACCTAGTGTAGTAATATACATAGATAAGGTTAGAATTTAACCTTAAAATAGACAGCGCATTGAAACAAAATAATGTATGTCGATCGTCCATGATATGCCTTAAAAAGCCTCTTGTTGCAGATATGTTTCCATTTCCACTTAACATGGTGGATGTGATCGATAAAGCAGAGGATGCTTACTCTTCCATAACACCTGATCCTTGTACTTTCTCAGGAGCCTCTGTGAAAATCTTTCTTTTGTTTATACTTTGCCCTAGTTTAATAAATTTGAGTTTAAATTTTGACTAAATGGTTATGCTGATATTTTCTTGATTTTTCCTCAGAACATTAAACATCTGGGTAACTGGAGCATGAATTGGAAGTCAAATTCAGTGGAATAGGCTGCACATGATAACGGATAGAATTGTAGCACTACAACATTCAACAACTTCAAACCAATTCCAAAACGTTTTAACGTTACGCCTGGAAAATGATATAGCTGAAAGGGAGGGAGGGATGGGGGAATGCGAAACATTAAATTATTACTAAGAGATAACAGTTTATCCTATAAAAACCAGACGTTTGGCCGTCGTCTCTCACCTAGTATTTCCCAAATCTCATTGAAATTGGAAGCTTTAGCGCAACATGAAGAGTAATTGGAATGTTTTAACACACGATAATGAACACGGGACAAGATGTTTTCTTTTCGCATACCTTATCGGCCTTATTTTGCCAATCAAAATATGTTAATTCTAGGTATTCTGGTTAATTAGCTGAAAATTTATAGAATTTGATCGCGTTATCTAGAATATGGGTTGAGACCATTTCTTTTGAAAAAAAAATTGTGCTTCGTCCCAAACATCCGCCAGACAAATGATTCTAAATTTTTCGGTTAATCAGAAGAAGTGGTTTGAAAGTGTTAACAAATGTTACCCTTCTGACCTTGAATATTGGTCAAGGTTATTCCTTTCCATGAACTTTGTCGGGCGGTGTCTATGGATTGTTTCAATTAAATATCACGACATGTAGCCTTTTGGTTATTGAGAAATCTTTTCAAGTTTAAAAAAATACGTTAGACAGGCAACGGGCAACAGACGGACGACGGATGTAAGACGGATGGGCGGAAGACTACACAGGTGAAAAACTTGTGTATGTTTGATGGTGCGTTTGTGTGATAGTGTGTTTGTGTGATGGTGTGTATGTGTGATGGTGTGTTTGTGTGATAGTGTGTATGTGTGATTGTGTGTATGTGTGATGGTGTGTTTGTGTGATGGTGTGTATGTGTGATGGTGTGTTTGTGTGATAGTGTGTATGTGTGATGGTGTGTTTGTGTGATGGTGTGTATGTGTGATGGTGTGTTTGTGTGATAGTGTGTATGTGTGATGGTGTGTTGGTGTGATAGTGTGTTTGTGTGATGGTGTGTATTGGTGTGTTTGTGTGATGGTGTGTTTGTGTGATGGTGTGTATGTGTGATGGTGTGTTTGTGTGATGGTGTGTATGTGTGATGGTGTGTTTGTGTGATGGTGTGTATGTGTGATGGTGTGTTTGTGTGATGGTGTGTATGTGTGATGGTGTGTTTGTGTGATAGTATGTATGTGTGATGGTGTGTTTATGTGATGATGTTTTTTGTGCAAGTATTTTTTTATACTTATAACAAACCAGCACATCCATTCTTCACTGTGTTAGTGTGTTTGTGTGATGGTGTGTTTGTGTGATGGTGTGTATGTGTGGTGTGTTTGTGTGATAGTGTGTATGTGTGGTGTGTTTGTGTGATAGTGTGTTTGTGTGATGGTATGTATGTGTGATGGTGTGTTTGTGTGATAGTGTGTTTGTGTGTATGTGTGATGGTGTGTATGAGTGATAGTGTGTATGTGTGATAGTGTTTGTGTGATGGTATGTATGTGTGATGGTGTGTTTGTGTGATAGTGTGTATGTGTGTATGTGTGGTGTGTTTGTGTGATGGTGTGTTTGTGTGATGGTATGTATGTGTGATGGTGTGTTTGTGTGATTGTGTGTTTGTGTGATGGTGTGTATGTGTGATGGTGTGTATGTGTGATAGTGTGTATGTGTGATGGTGTGTTTATGTGATGATGTTTTTTGTGCATGTATTTTTTTTATACTTATAACAAACCAGCACCTCCATTCTTCACTGTGTTAGTGTGTTTGTGTGATGGTGTGTTTGTGTGATGGTGTGTATGTGTGATGGTGTGTTTGTGTGATAGTGTGTATGTGTGGTGTGTTTTTGTGATAGTGTTTGTGTGATGGTATGTATGTGTGATGGTGTGTTTGTGTGATAGTGTGTTTGTGTGATGGTGTGTATGTGTGATGGTGTGTTTGTGTGATGGTGTGTATGTGTGATGGTGTGTTTGTGTGATGGTGTGTATGTGTGATGGTGTGTATGTGTGATGGTGTGTTTGTATGATGGTGTGTATGTGTGATGGCGTGTATGTGTGATGGTGTGATTGTGTGATAATGTGTATGTATGATGGTATGTTTGTGTGATGGTGTGTATGTGTGATAATGTGTATGTATGATGGTTTGTTTGTGTGGTGGTGTGTTTATATGATGATGTTTTTGTGCATGCATTTTTTTATACTTATAACAAACCAGCACCTCCATACTTCTCTGAATCAATTCACTCCATCATCCTGTCCCCTTAAAACACTTGTCTATCAACAAACTAA